TCCCCAGCTGCTCCTCCCACCCAGCGTGACACTCGCCTAGGGTTGCCAGTTCTGCGTGCCTCTATTCCCCCTTCACAGCTCGCCCCACAAACCCTCTCGGCACCGAGTTGCCAAACCCTCAGCCACACATTCCTCCATTGGTAAACTCTGCCACCAACTTTGGCACCGGGATGCCAGGTTTTCAGCTGCCTTCTCCTCTGCTAAACACCACAGGTAACCTCAGCACCGGGATGCTAGGTTCTCAGCTACTCATTCCTCCCCCGTCAAACGCCACAGCTAACATCTGCACAGCGTTGCCGGGTCCTCTCACCTCTGCTACTTCCCACCGTATTTCAGCTAACATTCCTCAAACCAGCCGTCTGACTGCTCCTACCTCCAGTTCAGAGCTGCACCTGGCCTAAACTTTTCGCCCAGGCCCCATTTCTACAAGCTAACACCACCCAGTTTTTGCTGGCCACAGCAATTCTTCCTTTCAACCCACCGGCCCCAAAGTCTTCTCCTGTATCTACTAACCTTTGCTAACTAATCACCACTGGTAAACATGTGGATTTGGCCGAGCTCATTCCTCCTCCTCTCATGCAACCTGCTCTTCCTAGGTGATCAATGGCCACGACGGTTCCATTATTATACGTGGCGCGGCCCCTTCTCAGTTGAAAGAGCTCTCCCGGCTGAGTTTGCTCTAGCCTTCTCGTTATATAGAGACGTCCTCCACACCGCTTTTCCCTCCCGAAGACCAGACTTCGACTCCATCTGACCATTATTCTCAACCTCGCGTTACGATTTGGCCGCACCGGATTCTGTCAGTACCTCATTCAGTTCGCTTCTTAGGCATCTGCTCACCTTCAGCAATTTAACCAAGACACCTTCCGGGGCAGTCCCGATCAGGAAATCTACTGCCGTCTTCGCCGCCCGTCTTCTCTCTCCCGCAAGTTGTGTGGCGCTCCGTCACTTCCCGCTTCCACCTGTATAGCCTCAGCCCAAAACGATTCAGCCCTCGTGCCGTCCTTCTGTTCTCTCCCGCTTGACCCCAGCTCCCGTACCAGAACCTCTAAACCCACAATCTCCACCCCAGCATGCCTTTGCCTCACGGTTCAGACAGGCGGGGCAGGCCCATCACGCACCTCGGAGGCCGCACCATTTGCCATGACTTCAACGACTCCAGCTGTTCCTTGCCTCAATGCCGCTATCTTCACTGCTGCTCCCTTTGCGGCGGCGGCCATTCCCGCCCCGCATGACCCCTCAACCCCACCAGCCTCCACCCCTGTCTACATTCTGGCACCAGAAGTTGCCTCATTTAAAAAAAAAAAAAAGGTGCTTCACCCCCTCAATGGCTCCCAGTCTTACCCCCTCCCACGTCACCACCAGCTCACGGATTATCTACTCCAAGGTCAGTCTTCTCCGAACTCGGCGCCCCTTCGTCGGAAGAGAAAACACGGGACCTTTAACATCCCCGGAGTTCCTTGGGATAACCCTCGACACTGAATGCTTCCAGGCTCCCCTGCCCAT